AATTCCCCCTCTCCCCGACCCTGATTCCTTATCCCCTCCCCGGGACCCCCTTTTCACTTATCCGTTTCCCCCCCCGGACCCGCATTCACTAATCTTCCCCCCCCCCGGACCCCCATTCCCTATTCTTCCCCCCCGGACCCGCATTCTTTTAAACGCTCCCCCCGGGACCCTGCATTCATTTTTCCGGTCTCCCCGACCCTGCATTCACATATCCGCCCCCCCCACCCCGCACACTAAAAAAAACCCCTTTCCCCCGACCCTGCACAAAAACCCTTCCCCCCGGACCCCCCCCACATTTAAAACCCCCCCCCCCCCGGACCCTGCATTCATATACCCGGTCTTTCCCCGGGACCCTGCTTTCACATATCCGGACCCTGCATCACTATTCTGGTTCCCAGCCCCTGCATTCCTATTCCGCTCCCCCCCCGGACCCTGAAATTCACTTTATCCGCTCTCCCAGGACCCTGCATTACTTATCGGTCTCCCCCCGGGCTGCATTCACTATACCCGGGTTCCCCGGGAACCGCTGATTCACTTTGTCTGCCTCCCAGGACCCTGCTTTCATTATTCCCCTCCCCCGACCCTGATTCACTTATCCGCTCTCCCCGGACCCCGCATTCACTATACCATCTCCCCGGACGCTGCTTCCTTTTTCCGTCTCCCCAGGACCCTGCATTCCTTTAGCTTCCCCGGCCCTGCATTCACTATACCCATTTCCCCCCCGGCGCTGCATTCACTTATCCGCTCTCCAGGACCCTGCATTCATTTATACCCGGGTCTCCCCGACGCTGCATTCACTATAATCCGCTCTCCCCCAGGACCGCTGCATTCACTATATCTGGTCTCTCCCCAGGACCCCTCATATCACTATATACGCTCTCCCCGGAACCCCATTCACTATAATCCGCTCTGCCTGGACCCCGCATTCCACTATATCCCTCTCCCCCCGGACCCCGCATTCAATTTATCCGCTCTCCCCCCGACCCTGCATTCACTATAACCGCCTCTTCCCGGACCCCGCTTTCCAATATTTTAGGCTCTCCCCGGAACCTCCCGCAATCACTATATCCGCATCTCCCCGTACCCCGCATTCACTTTATCCGCTCTCCCCGGACCCCGAATTCACTAATATCCGCTCTCCCCTCCCCCACCCGCGGACCCCCCATTCACTATATATCCGGTCTCTCCCCGGACCCCTCAAGTCATATATATCACCCGGTCTCCCCGTGACCCCTCATATCAATTATATCCGCTCTCTCCCCGGACGCCCCGCATCTCACTATAACCTGGTTCTCCCCCGGACCCCGCCTTTCACTATAATCCGCTCTCGGTCTCCCCGGGAGACCCTGCATTACACTATAATCCGCTCTCCTTGTGACCCCTCATCTCACTATAATCTGCTCTCCCCGCGGACCCCCGCATTCACTATATCCAGCTCTCCCCGGACCCCCGCATTCACTATATCCTGCACTCCCCGGTACCCCGCATTCACTATATTTGCTCTCCCCCGGACCCTGCATTCACTATATTGCTCTCCCTGGACCCTGCATTCACTATATTTGCTCTCCCCCGGGAATACCCGCATTCAACTATATCTGCTCTCCCTAAGGACCCCGCATACTCACTATATTTGCTCTCCCTTGGACCCCGCATTCACTATATCCCCTCTCCTTGGACCCCAGCATTCACTATATCTGCTCTCCCCGGACCCCGCATTATCACTATATCTGCTCTCCTTGGACCCCGCATTCAATCTATATCCTGCTCTCCCCCGGACCCCGCATTCACTATATCTGCTCTCCTTGGACCCCGCATTCACTATATTTGCTCTCGGCCCCAGGACCCTGCATTCAATATATCCGCTCTCCTTGGACCCCGCATTCACTATATCTGCTTCCCCGGACCCCGCATTCACTATATCTGCTCTCCCCCAGACCCTGCATTCAAGCTATATCTGGTCTCCCCGGACCCCGCATTCACTATATCTGGTCTCCCCCCGGACCCCGCATTCACTATATCTGCTCTCCCCAGACCCTGCATTTCACTATATTTGCATGTCAACTATATCTGGTATCTCCCAGAACCCTGCATTCACTATATCTGCTCTCCCCCTGGACCCCGCATTCACTATATCTGCTCTCCCCAGACACTGCTTTCACTATATTTGCTCTCCCCCTGGACCCCACTGCTGCTTCACTATATCTGCTCTCCCTGGACCCCGCATTCACTAATATCTGCTCTCCCCGGACCCTGCATTCACTATATCTCTGGACCCTGCTCACCTCTCCCAGGACCCTGCAATTCACTATATCTGCTTTCCCCGGACCCTGCATTCACTATATCCGCTCTCCCCCCGGACCCCGCATTCACTATATCCGGTCTCCCAACCCCGCATTCACTATATCTGGCTCTCCCCGGACCCCGCATTCACTTATATCTGGTCTCCCCGGACCCCGCATTCACTATATCTGGTCTCCCTGGACCCCCATGTCACTTTATCTGGTCTCCTCCCCGGACCCTGCATTCACTATATCCGGTCTCTCTCCGGACCCTGCCATTCACTCTATCCCGCTCTCCCCGGACCCTGCATTCACTATATCTGCTCTCCCCGGACCCCCAGCATTCACTATATCAGGTCTGGTCTCCCACCGAACCCTGCAGTCACTATATATCCGCTCTAACATAGTACACAGAACATTGAAATGCAATGATTTTAGTAACTATAAAACTGCTAAATACCTTTTTCTCTCATGAGCAGTATATAGCAGTCTTGTGACATCTGTCAGTGTCCAGCAGAGCACTGGTTAAAGCTTGTATGAGGAGTTTTTTCTCTAGGAGATGCAGAACCCCTGACCTCTGTCTGGACAGTGCTGATTGGCCCCATGCTGATCCCATGCACTTTCCCAAGAAAAAAAAAAAAACAACCTCTCTAGCAATACACACTAAACTGAGCATGTGCAGAATGGCTACAGGTTCAGTCTGTCTTATCAGGAGATAAGATTGTGAATATTTGAAGAAGGGGGAGGAACTCAGAGAAGACAGGATCAAACAGCGTTTTTTACACAATGCAGAGGATTCACCCCTTAGGTTCCACAGTGAGTATAACAAGCACGCTTTACTGCATCTACAGACTGATGGATACTGTGGGGGGTTTGGTAACACTGTAAGTTGGCCTCAGAACCTGTATAATTAATGTGTGTTTCGTGTGTTACATGGATGAGGGTGACAGCCCGTCCCTCCCAGTCCTAGGGGTAACTGTGCCCTGTCCCTAGTCTTGCAATCTCCGTGTGTCCCCCTAGTCCTGGAGCCTCTGTGCCAACCCCCCCCCCCCCAGCCCCGCTGTGTCTGTGCCCCATCTCCAATCTGGCGGTCTTTGTGCCCCCCAGTCCTGCAGGCTCTGTGTCTCCCCTACAAGTCCTGTCCCCAATCCTGAGGACCCTGTGCCCCCCCCCCCACTCTTTCAAGCACTGTGTCCTTCCCTCCCCAGGCCTGCAGTCTCTGTTTGTTTCCCTCAGCTGTTTGGTCTCTGTGTCCCCCCCCCCAGCCCCCCAATCTGGGCTGGGGGGGGATACCGCCTGGATATCTCTGTGTCCTCCCCCAGCCCCCCAATCTAACGAGCCCAGCAACCCCCCCCCATCCTCATGTCCTCCAGTCACTGTGCCCCCCCCCCAGACCTAGAGGTCTCTATGTCCACCCAGTCCCCTACAGGTCCTGTGCCCCCCTCACCAGTCCCGCCAAGCACCATGTACTCCCACTAGCTCTGCCGTCTCTGATTGTACCCTCAGCCCCTGTGCCCCCCCCCCCCCCAAGGGTTGCCACCTCATCCCTTTAAAATGGAATACATATTAATCACACAGGTTCTGGGGCTGATTTATTGCAGATAAGGCTCTAAGGGAATTTAATTACCACCTTAATCAGCCCCAGAACCTGTGTCATCAATGTGTTCAGTTTTAAAGGGATGAAGTGGCAACCCTGTCCCCCCCCAGCCCTGTGGTCTCTGTGTCCCCCCAGTTCAGCGGTCTCTGTGCTCCCCTTACCACCATCTTTTGTTCTCTGTATCCCCCAGAACTACAGTTTCTGTACAGCCCCAGTCCTGCGGCCTTGTACCCCCCTCCCCAGGTACTCTGTCCTCCGCTCAGACCCTGCAATCTCTAATTGTTGTTTCAACCTTGGAGCCTCTGTGCCTCCCCAAGCCCTGTGGTCTCTGTGTCCCCCTAGAGGTCTCTGTGCCCCCCCAAGCCCTGTGGTCTCTTTATTCCCCTAGACCTGCAGCCTCTGTGCCCCCCCAGCCTTGTGGTCTTTGTGTCCCCCTAGACCTGCAGCCTCTTTGCCCCCCTCCAGCCTTGTGGTCTCTGTGTCCCCCTAGACCTGCAGCCTCTGTGTCCGCCCCCAGCCTTGTGGTCTCTGTGTTCCCCTAGATCTGCAGCCTCTGTGCCCCCCCAGCCTTGTGGTCTCTGTGTCCCCCTAGACCTGCAGCCTCTGTGCCCTCCCCCCAAGCCCTGTGGTCTCTGTATCCCCCTAGACCTGCAGTCTCTGTGCCCCCCCCCCAGCCTTGTGGTCTTTGTGTCCCCCTAGACCTGCAGCCTCTGTGCCTCCCCCCCAGCCTTGTGGTCTCTGTGTCCCCCTAGACCTGCAGCCTCTGTGTCCCCCCCCCAACCTTGTGGTCTCTGTGTCCCCCTAGACCTGCAGCCTCTGTGCCTCCACCCCAGCCTTGTGGTCTCTGTGTCCCCCTAGACCTGCAGCCTCTGTGCCCCCCAGCCTTGTGGTCTTTGTGTCCCCCTAGACCTGCAGACTCTGTGCCCCCCAGCCTTGTGGTCTTTGTGTCCCCCTAGACCTGCAGCCTCTGTGTCCCTCCCCCCACGCTCTGTCGTCTCTGTGTCCCCCTAGACCTGCAGCCTCTGTGTCCCCCCCCCCCAACCTTGTGGTCTCTGTATCCCCCTAGACCTGTAGCCTCTGTGCCCCCCCAGCCTTGTGGTCTCTGTGTCCCCCTAGACATGCAGCCTCAGTGCCCCCCCAGCCTTGTGGTCTCTGTATCCCCCTAGACCTGCAGCCTTGGTGTCCCCCCCAACCTTGTGGTCTCTGTATCCCCCTAGACCTGCAGCCTTTGTGTCCCCCCCCCAACCCTGTGGTCTCTGTATCCCCCTAGATCTGCAGCCTCTGTGCCCCCCCAGCCTTGTGGTCTCTGTGTCCCCCTAGACATGCAGCCTCTGTGCCCCTCCAGCCTTGTGGTCTCTGTGTCCCCCTAGACCTTCAGCCTCTGTGCCCCCCCAGCCTTGTGGTCTCTGTATCCCCCTAGATCTGCAGCCTCTGTGCCCCCCCAGCCTTTGTGGTCTCTGTGTCCCCCTAGACCTTCAGCCTCTGTGCCCCCCCCCCCCAGCCTTGTGGTCTCTGTGTCCCCCTAGACCTGCAGCCTCTGTGCCCCACCACCCCACCACTACCGTCCTGTGGTCTCTGCATCCCCCACCCCAGCCCAGCAGCATCTGCACCCCCTTCCAGCCCTGTGGTCTCCATGTCCCATTGTCTCCCAGCACACAGTGCCAGCCTCTCTTCTGTGCCAGTCTCCTCTTCACACGGCCTTTTCTCAGCCCCCCCCTCCTCTGTCCCTGTTTTCATTCCCAGCTTCTTCTGATGTCTCGTTTCTCTCCTCTGCCTTTCTGGATGTGTCATTCCATCCTGTACACTCAATGAATCTTGTCTTCTACACAGTCTCTGCACCTTACAATGACGTTCCTGCTGTTGGTGGGCCGATTGACCCTGCTTGCTTCTAATACCATTTGAGGAATTTGCCACCAAGTCCCCCCCCATCACGGCTCCATTTCCACCCACCAGAACACGGAAATGTCAGTTTTGGGTGGACTGACCTTTTAAAGTGAACTAGTCATAGCTAGGCTTCGGGAAGAATGACTTCAGGCTTAACCCTGTCATTGCCAGGAGTTGTCTCTAGTTTTGGACTTAAGATGGCTCCACCATCGGTTTTAAATCTGACGATAAAATACACATTACAGGCAGGGGCGGACTGACCATTTGGAAACGCGGGCACTGCCCGAGGGCCCAGGGTCAGTAGGGGGCCCCATGAGATGCCCCTGGTACCTTTTTCATAGGCTTTTTTGAGTTTTGGCAAGGACACAGGGGCCCCATGATCCCCTATTGCCCGGGGGCCCCATGAGTTGTCAGTCCGCCCCTGGGAGAGGGGATGTGTTCTGCAGTCCTCTGCTAGGGTGACAACACTGCTCCTCCATAGATGTAGTACAGGGAGCGTTGTCACTCTACGACAGAAATGTGCTACTGCTGGTTGGTAGATCACAGACACGAGGACTCCACCTGGGTAAATGTGAGGGGTCTTGCAGTTCTCGCCCATTGCTAGTGTGTGAGGATGGGTCTGGGAAACCCGGCCATAGAATATGGAGGTAATGAAGGTAAGAACAGTCCTGTACAGTATGAAAGCTCACACTTCACTGCTCTAGGTAACAATTCTCCCTTTGGTGATGCGGGACACTGCGTCCAGTTCCAGGAATCAGATATCCGAGGCTTTGTGATCCATGCAATTACTGAACCTCCTTTGTCCGATGTAAAGGTCAGTGCTCTCCAGAGATGCTGTCCTGGGAAACTTCTGCCTCATTCCACAATTCTGTTGTAGCTGCAGAATATCTCCGTATAGAACTATGAAAAACCACGCTAACAGAAAAAGGGCTGAGCTGACCAGTCACACCATCTACTGTCCCTCAAAGCTGCGTCATCAGCCATAGGGCCACCTGACACAGAACACAAACACATGGGAGACTAATTAAAAAATTCCAATCAGGGGAACACAAATCTTCCTGAGCTGGAAGGGAGGACACATAAACATCTCTGTTTAGGTATCGCTGTGCATTCGCAAAGTCAGCTGTCCATCATCAGGTATAGTTATAAACCATGCAGGTCACGTGACACTGCTATACCCTGGACAGATCTATTAAACGGTATGCCGTCCCATACAGGGCCATGGAAGGTGTGCCTTCCCTGTACAGCACCTTGGAACAGTGTGCCTTTCTGATATAGAGCCATGGAACTGTGTGCTTTCTCTGCACAGAATCTTAAAACGATGTGCTTTCTCTGTACAGAACCTTAGAACAGTGTGCTTTCCCAGTACAAAGCCATAGAATGGTGTGCCTTCCCCATGCAGAGCCATCGAAGGCGTGCCTTCCCCATACAGAGCCATTGAAGGTGTGCCATCCCCATACAGAGCCATGGAAGGTGTGTCGTCCCCATACAGAGCCATGGAAGGCATGCCTTCCCCATACAGAGCCATGGAAGGTGTGTCGTCCCCATACAGAGCCATGGAAGGCATGCCTTCCCCATACAGAGCCATGGAAGGTGTGTCGTCCCCATACAGAGCCATGGAAGGCATGCCTTCCCCATACAGAGCCATGGAAGGTGTGCCATCCCCACACGGAGCCATGGAAGGTGTGCTGTCCCCATACAGAGCCATGGAAGGCATGCCGTCCCATACAGAGCCATGGAAGGCATGCCTTCCTTATACAGAGCCATGGAAGATCTGCCTTCCCTGTACAGCACTTTGGAACAGTGTACCTTTCTGATATAGAGCCATGGAACTGATGTGCTTTCCCTGTACAGAACCTTAGAACAGTGTGCTTTCCCAGTACAAACCCATAGAACGGTGTTCCTTCCCCATGCAGACCCATGGAAGGCGTGCCTTTCCCATACAGAGCCATGGAAGTTATGCCGTCCCCATACAGAGCCATGGAAGGTGTGCCATCCCCATACAGAGCCATGGAAGGCATGCCATCTCATACAGAGCCATGGAAGGCGTGCCATCCCCATACAGTGCCATGGAAGGTGTGCCATCCCCATACAGAGGCATGGAAGGTGTGTCATCCCCGCATGGAGCCATGGAAGGTGTGCTGTCCCCATACAGAGCCATGGAAGGTGTGCCATCCCCATACAGAGCCATGGAAGGCATGCCATCTCATACAGAGTCATGGAAGGCCCATCCCCATACAGTGCCATGGAAGGTGTGCCATCCCCATACAGAGGCATGGAAGGTGTGTCATCCCCGCATGGAGCCATGGAAGGTGTGCTGTCCCCATACAGAGCCATGGAAGGTGTGCTGTCCCCATACAGAGCCATGGAAGGCATGCCTTCCCCATACAGAGCCATGGAAGGTGCCTTCCCTGTACAGCACTTTGGAATAGTGTGCCTTTCTGATATAGAGTCATGGAACTGTGTGCTTTCTCCACACAGAATCTTAAAACGATGTGCTTTCCCTGTACAGAACCTTAAAACAGTGTGCTTTCCCAGTACCAACCCATAGAATGGTGTGCCTTCCCCATACATAGCCATGGAAGGTGTGCTGTCCCCATACAGAGCCATGGAAGGCATGCCATCCCATACAGAGCCATGGAAGGCGTGCCTTCCCCATACAGAGCCATGGAAGGTGTGCCATCCCCATACAGAGCCATGGAAGGTGTGCCATCTCATACAGAGCCATGGAAGGTGTGCCTTCCCCATACAGAGCCATGGAAGGTGTGCCATCCCCATACAGAGCCATGGAAGGCGTGGCTTCCCCATACAGAGCCATGGAAGGTGTGCCATCCCCATACAGAGCCATGGAAGGTGTGCCATCTCATACAGAGCCATGGAAGGTGTGCCTTCCCCATACAGAGCCATGGAAGGTGTGCCATCCCCATACAGAGCCATGGAAGGTGTGCCATCCCCATACAGAGCCATGGAAGGCATGCCATCCCATACAGAGCCATGGAAGGCGTGCCTTCCCCATACAGAGCCATGAAGGTGTGCCATCCCCATACAGAGCCATGGAAGGCATGCCATCTCATACAGAGCCATGGAAGGCATGCCTTCCCCATACAGAGCCATGGAAGGTGTGCCATCCCCACATGGAGCCATGGAAGGTGTGTCATCCCCATACAGAGCCAGGGAAGATGTGCCTTCCCTGTACAGAACTTTAGAACAGTGTGCTTTCCCAGTACGAACCCATAGAATGGTGTGCCTTCCCCATGCAGACCCATGGAAGGCGTGCCACACGTGAGTGTGGGCAAGGACACAGGGGCTCCACGATCCCCTATTGCCCAGGGGGCCCCATGAGTTGTCAGTCTGCCCCTGGTATCCATCCAAATTTCCAAAAATGAAATTTTCATCTGAAAAAGGAATCATAACTAAATGAAACGCACATATCTACCGTCAGACTGACAACTCATGGGGCCCCCGGGCAATAGAGGATCATGGGGCCCCTGTGTCCTTGCCCAAACTCAAAAAAGCCTATGAAAAAGGTACCAGGGGCATCCCATGGGGCCCCCTACTGACCCCAGGCCCTCGGGCAGTGCCCAAGTTTCCAAATGGTCAGTCCGCCCCTGTCTACCGTTGACATCTAGATCCTGGAGCCCTCTGGCTCTTCTTGTTCAGCCCATCGGGCCCCCGCACATGTTGTTTTGCTGCTTCTTCTTGCCGTTGAAGGAAAATATTTCTCCTGTTAATTTGAGAGTTTGGTTTATTTTTTCCCGCTGTCTGACTTTTGTCTCTGCTGTCCACCCATTTCCTCTGTTTATGTTTTTCTCCCTCTGATCTTTTATAATGGAGCTTCCTGAGAGAAATACCAAATGCAGGAAAAGTGACTTTACGAATGTGGAAGGATTGATTGTTAAAGCAGTCTCCTATGTGATGTTTCTTCACTCTACAACCGCCGTGTCCCAAGTCTCCAGCATCTCCTGTAGCATGTTCTCCATCACTGATCGTCTCCTGCAGCATGAATGCAGTCTCTAACCATCACCTGTAGCCTGTCTGCAGTCTCTGAACCTCCCTTGCAGCATGTAGGCGGTCTCTAGCCATCTCTTGTACTATGTCTGCAGACTCTTTCCATCTCTTTTAGCACATCCGCAGTCTATAACCATCTATTTTAGTATGTCTGTGGACTCTATCCATCTCCTGTATCATGTCTGCAGTCTCTAACCATCTCCTGTAGAATGTCTGCAGTCTCTAACCATCTCTTGCATCATGTCTGCAGTCTCTAACCATCTCCTGTAGAATGTCTGCAGTCTCTTTCCATCTCTAGTATCATGTCTGCAGTCTGTATCCAACTCTTGTGTAATGTCTGCAGTCTCTTTCCATCTCTAGTATCATGTCTGCACTCTCTATCCAACTCTTGTGTAATGTCTGCAGTCTCTGACCATCTCTTGTATCATGTCTGCAGTCTCTATCCATCGCTTGTAGTATGTCTGCGGTCTCTATCCATCTCCTGTAGCATGTCTACGGTCTCTATCCATCTCCTGTAGTATGCCTGCGGTCTCTATCCATCTCTTGTAGTATGTCTGCGGTCTCTATCCATCTCTTGTAGTATGTCTGCGGTCTCTATCCATCTCTTGTAATATGTCTGCGGTCTCTAACCATCTCTTGTAGCATGTATGCGGTCTCTAACCATCTCCTGTATCATGTCTGTAGTCTCTAACCATCTCCTGTATCATGTGTGCAGTCTCTAACCATCTTCTGTAAAATGTCTGCAGTCTTTATCCATCTCTTGTAGCATGTTTGTGGTCTCTTTCCATCTCTTGTATCATGTATGCAGTCTTTGACTATCTCCTGTAGAATGTCTGCAGTCTCTAAACATCTCCTGTAGAATGTCTGCAGTCTCTTTCCATCTCTAGTATCATGTCTGCAGTCTCTATCCAACTCTTGTCTAATGTCTGCAGTCTCTGACCATCTCTTGCATCATGTCTGCAGTCTCTATCCATCTCTTGTAGTATTTCGGCAGTCTCTATCCATCTCCTGTAGTATGTCTGCAGTCTCTATCCATCTCTTGTAGTATGTCTGCGGTCTCTATCCATCTCTTGTAGTATGTATCCATCTCTTGTAGTATCTCTGCGTCTCTATCCATCTCTTGTAGTATGTCTGCGGTCTCTATCCATCTCTTGTAGTATGTCTGCGGTCTCTATCCATCTCTTGTAGTATTTCTGCGGTCTCTATCCATCTCTTGTAATATGTCTGCGGTCTCTAACCATCTCTTGTAGCATGTCTTCAGTCTTTATCCATCTCTTGTAGCATGTTTGCAGTCTCTTTCCATCTCTTGTATCATGTATGCAGTCTTTGACTATCTCCTGTAGAATACCTGCAGTCTCTAACCATCTCCTGTAGAATGTCTGCAGTCTCTTTCCATCTCTAGTATCATGTCTGCAGTCTCTATCCAACTCTTGTCTAATGTCTGCAGTCTCTGACCATCTTATGTATCATGTCTGCAGTCTGCAGTCTCTGAGCATCTCCTGTAGTATGTCTGCGGTTTCTATCCATCTCTTGTAGTATGTCTGCGGTCTCTATCCATCTCTTGTAATATGTCTGCGGTCTCTATCCATCTCTTGTAATATGTCTGCGACCTCTAACCATCTCCTGTATCATGTCTGTAGTCTCTACCCATCTCCTGTATCATGTCTGCAGTCTCTAACCATCTTCTGTAGAATGTCTGCAGTCTTTATCCATCTCTTGTAACATGTTTGTGGTCTCTTTCCATCGCTTGTATCATGTATGCAGTTTTGACTATCTCCTGTAGCATGTCTGCAGTCTCTATCCATCTCTTGTAGTATGTCTACGGTCTCTATCCATCTCTTGTAGTATGTCTGCGGTCTCTATCCATCTCTTGTAGTATGTCTGCGGTCTCTATCCATCTCTTATAGTATGTCTACGGTCTCTATCCATCTCTTGTAGTATGTCTGCGGTCTCTATCCATCTCTTGTAGTATGTCTGCGGTCTCTATCCATCTCTCGTAGTATGTCTGCGGTCTCTATCCATCTCTCGTAGTATGTCTGCGGTCTCTATCCAACTCTTGTGTAATGTCTGCAGTCTCTGACCACCTCTTGTATCATGTCTGCAGTCTCTATCCATCTCTTTGTAGCATGTATGTGGTCTCTTTCCATCTCTTGTATCATGTCTGCAGTCTCTGACCATCTACTGTAGTATGTCTGTGGTCTCTATCCATCTTTTGTAGTATGTCTACGGTCTCTATCTCTTGTATCACGTCTGCAGTCTCTGACAATGTCTTGTAGTATCTCTGTGGTCTCTATCCATCTCTTGTAGTATGTCTGCAGTCTCTATCCATCTCTTGTAGTATGTCTGCGGTCTCTATCCATCTCTTGTAGTATGTCTGCGGTCTTTATCCATCTCTTGTAGTATTTCTGCGGTCTCTATCCATCTCTTGTAGTATGTCTGCGGTCTCTATCCATCTCTTGTAGTATGTCTGCGGTCTCTATCCATCTCTTGTAGTATGTCTGCGGTCTCTATCCATCTCTCGTAATATGTCTGCGGTCTCTAACTATCTCTTGCAGCATGTCTGCAGTCTCTAACCATCTCCTGTATCATGTCTGCAGTCTCTAACCATCTCTTGTACCATGTCTGCAGTCTCTAAGCATCTCTTGTACCATGTCTGCAGTCTCTAACCATCTCTTGTACCATGTCTGCAGTCTCTAACCATCTCTTGTACCATGTCTGCAGTCTCTAACCATCTCCTGTAGAACGTCTGCAGTCTCTATCCATCTCTTGTAGCATTACTGTGGTCTCTTTCCATCTCTTGTAGCATGTCTGCAGTCTCTATCCAACTCTTGTGTAATGTCTGCAGTCTCTGACCACCTCTTGTATCATGCCTGCAGTCTCTATCCATCTCTTGTAGCATGTATATGGTCTCTTTCCATCTCTTGTATCATGTCTGCAGTCTCTGACCATCTCCTGTAATATGTCTGTGGTCTCTATCCATCTTTTGTAGTATGTCTACGGTCTCCATCTCTTGTATCACGTCTGCAGTCTCTGACAATGTCTTGTAGTATCTCTGCGGTCTCTATCCATCTCTTGTAGTATGTCTGCAGTCTCTATCCATCTCTTGTAGTATGTCTGCGGTCTCTAGCCATCTCTTGTAGTATGTCTGCGGTCTCTATCCATCTCTTGTAGTATGTCTGCAGTCTCTATCCATCTCTTGTAGCATGTCTGCAGTCTCTATCCATCTCTTATAGTACAGTGCCTTGCAAAAATATTCATACCTCTTGAAATTTTCCACATTGTCATGTTACAACCAAAAACGTAAATGTATTTATTGGGATTGGATGTGATTGACCAACACAAAGTGGCACATAATTGTGAAGTTGAAGGAAAATATAAATGGTTTTTCAACATTTTTTACAAATAAATATCAGAAGAGTGTGGCGGCATTTGTATTCAGCCCCCTTTACTCCGATACCCCTAACTAAAATCTAGTGGAACCAATTGCCTTCAAAAGTCACCTAACTAGTAAATAGAGTCCACCTGTGTGTCATGTGATCTCAGTATAAATACAGCTGTTCTGTGAACCCTCTGAGGTTTGTTAGAGAACATTAGAGGACAAACAGCATCATTAAGGCTGAGGAACACACCAGAAAGGTCGGGGATAAAGTTGTGGAGATGGTTAAAGCAGGGTTAGGTTATAAAAAAAAATATCCCAAGCTTTGACCATCTCACGGAGCGCTGTTCAATCCATCATCCGAAGATGGAAAGAGTATGGCACAACTGCAAACCTACCAAGACATGGCCATCCACCTAAACTGACAGGCCGGGCAAGGAGAGCATTCATAAGGGAAGCAGCCAAGAGGCCCATGGGAACTCTGGAGGAGCTGCAGAGATCCACAGTTCAGGTGGGAGAATCTGTCCTCAGGACAACTATTAGTCGTCACTCCACAAATCTGGCCTTTATGGAAGCGTGACAAGAAGAAAAGTCATTGTTTGAAGAAAGCCATAAGAAGTCCCGTTTGCAGTTTGTGAGAAGCCATGTGGGGGACACAACAGACATGTGGAAGAAGGGGCTCTGGTCAGAGGAGACTAACATTGAACTGTGTGGCCTAAAAGAAAAACACTTTGTGTGGTGGAAAACTAACACTGTACATCACCCTGAACACACCATCCCTACCGTGAAACATGGTGGTGGCAGCATCATTTGGTGGGGATGCTTTTCTTCAGCAGGGACAGGGAAGCTGGTCAGAGTTGATGGGAAGATGGATGGAGCCAAATACAGGACAATCTTAGAAAAAAGCCTTTCTGAGTCTGCAAAGGACTTGAGACCGGGGCGGAGGTTACCCTTCCAGCAGGACAACAACACGAAACATGCAGTGGATATAAAAAGTCTACACATCCCTGTTAAAATGTCAGGTTTCTGTAATGTAAAAAAATGAGACAAAGATAAATAATTTCAGAACTTTTTCCACCTTTAATGGGACCTACAAACTCAGTTGACCAACAAAGTGAAATCTTTTAGATGGAGGGAAGTAAACATAAATAACTAAAATAATGTGGTTGCAAAAGTGTGCACACCCTTACACTAATCCTTTGTTGAAACCCCTTTTGATGTGATTCCGGCAGTCAGTCTTTTTGGGGAGGAGTCTATCAGCATGGCACATCTGGACTTGGCAATATTTGCCCGCTCTTCCTTGCAAAAAACACTCTCTGGCAAAATCTGGCAGATTGCGAGGGCATCTCCTGTGCACAGCCCTCTTCAGATCACCCCACAGATTGTCCATCGGATTCAGGTCTGGGCTCTGGCTGGACCATTCCAGAACTTTCATCTTCTTCTGGTGAAGCCATTCCTTTGTTGATCTGGATGTATGCTTTGGGTGGTTGTTATGCTGAAGGATGAAGTTCCTCTTCATGTTCAGCTTTCTAGCAGAAGCCTGAAGGTTTTGTGCCGATATTGACCGGTATTTGGAACTGTTCATAATTCCCTCTACCTTGACTAAGGCCCCAGTTCCAGCTGAAGAAAAACAGCCCCAAAACATGATCCTGCCACCTCCACCATGCTTCACAGTGGGTATGGTATTCTTTTGGTGATGTGCAGTGTTGTTTTTGCGCCAAACATCTTTTGGAATTATGACCAAAAAGTTCACCCTTGGTTTCATCAGACCAGAACACATTTTCCCACATGCTTCTGGGAGACTTCAGATGTGTGTTTGCAAAATGTAGCCGGGCTTGGATGTTTTTCTTCGTAAGAAAAGGCTTCCGTCTTCCACTCTACCCCATAGCCCAGACATAGGAATAATACGGGAGATTGGTGTCACATGGACCACACAGCCAGGACTTGTCAGATATTCCTGCAGCTCCTGTCATGTTGCTGTAGGCCTCTTGGCTGCCTCCCAGACCAGTTTTCTTCTTGTATTTTCATCCATTTTGGAGGGACGTCCAGTTTCTTGGTGATGTCACTGTTGCGTCATATTTTCTCCACTTGATGACTTCATCATGTTCCATGGTATATCTAATGCCTTGGAAATTCCTTTGTACCCTTCTCCTGACTGATACCTTTTAACAACGAGATTCCTCTGATGCTTTGGAAGCTCTCTGCGGACCATGGCTTCTGCTGTAGGATGCGACTAAGAAAATGTCAGGAAAGACCAGGGGGGACTGACAACTCATGGGGCCCCCGGGCAATAGGGGATCATGGGGCCCCTGTGTCCTTGCCCACACTCAAAAAAGCCTATAAAAAAGGTACCAGGGGCATTTCATGGGGCCCCCTACTGCCCCCGGGCCCTCGGGCAGTGCCCGAGTGCTCGAATGGTCAGTCCACCCCTGGGAAAGACCTACTAGAACAGCTGAACTTTATTTGGGGTTCATCAGAGACACTTTAAATGATGGCAGGTGTGTACTGACTCCTATTTACCATGATTGTGAATGTGATTGCTTCATTCTGAACACAGCTACATCCCCAGTTATAAGAGGGTGTGTACACTTATGCAACCATATTTTTTTAGTTTTTTATGTTTACTTCCATCCCCTAAAAGATTTCAGTTTGTTTTTTAATAGGGTTGTACAGTTTATAGGTCACATCACAGGTGGAAAAAGTTCTGAAATGATTTGTCTCATTTTTTTTACATCACAGAAACCTGACATTTTATCGGGGGTGTGAAGACATTTTATATCCACTGTGTACCCAGAGCTACAATGGAATGGTTCAGATCAAAGCATCTTCATGTGTTAGAATGGCCCAGTCACAGTCCTAACCAGGGGCAGACTGACCATTTGGAAACTTGGGTACTGCCCGAGGGCCCGGGGTCAGTAGGGGGCCCCATGAGATGCCCCTGGTACCTTTTTCATAGGCTTTTTTGAGTTTGGGCAAGGACACAGGGGCCCCATGATCCCCTATTGCCCGGGGGCCCCATGAGTTGTCAGTCTGCCCCTGATCCAGACCGAAACCCAATGGAGAATCTGTGGCCAGACCTGAAAATTGCTGTTCCCAGGCTCTCTCCATCCAATCTGACAGCCTGAGCGATTCTGCAAAGAAGAACTGGCAGAAATGTCCCGCCCCGCCCCTCTGCTCCCCGCTCCGCCCCTCTCCTGGTGCTCCTGCCAGGCTGCACCATACAGGGTGTAGAGGGGAGGGCAGCCGGGGCGGGGTCGGGAAGGAGCAGGCGAGGTCTCTATGAAGAATAAGAACACGCTGGCGGGGTGGGGTTTGCATTGGGGGCGGGATCTTTATAAAGGAGCCTTTGACTTGAGGTACATTCGGGGCGGGGTCAAGTACAGCGGGCGTGGTCTCTATGAAGAGTAAAATTGGGCTGGTAGGGCGGGGTTAAATTTAGGGGCGGGGTCTTTATGAAAGAAACCATTAACCAGGCAGGGATGGGCGGGGTTTCGGTGAGGGGGATGCTGCGCGGGAGCTTCAGTCTGCTCAGTCCTGTCAGGAGATCTGAGGGAGTCGAGTTGTACGATGAGCTCCCCGTGTCCCCGCTGTCATAAGACCGTCTACTTCGGTGAGTTCATCCCATACATACCCCCCCTCCACTGTGTGTGATATATATAACCCCCATCATCCCCCCCCTCCACTGTGTGTGTGATATATATATAAACCCCCATCATCCACCCCCACTGTGTGTGTGATATATATATAACCCCCATCATCCACCCCCACTGTGTGTGTGATATATATATATAACCCCCATCATCCACCCCCCCTCCACCTGTGTGTGATATATATATACATAACCCCCATCATCCCCCCCCCTCTACTGTGTGTGTGATATATATAACCCCCCATCATCCACCCCCCCCCCCCATCCACCTGTGTGTGTGATACATAACCCCCATCATCCCCCCCCCTCCACCTGTGTGTGTGATACATAACCCCCATCATCCCCCCCCCCCACCACCTGTGTGTGTGAGATACATAACCCCCATCATCCCCCCCCCCCCTCCACCTGTGTGTGTGAGATACATAACCCCCATCATCCCCCCCCCCTCCACCTGTGTGTGTGAGATACATAACCCCCATCATCCCCCCCCTCCACCTGTGTGTGTGAGATGCATAACCCCCATCATCCCCCCCCTCCACCTGTGTGTGTGAGATGCATAACCCCCATCATCCCCCCCTCCTCCACCTGTGTGTGTGAGATACATAACCCCCATCATCCCCCCCCCCTCCACCTGTGTGTGTGAGATACATAACCCCCATCATCCCCCCCCCCCCCTCCACCTGTGTGTGTGAGATACATAACCCCCATCATCCCCATCATCCCCCCCCCCTCCACCTGTGTGTGTGAGATGCATAACCCCCATCATCCCCCCCCCCTCCACCTGTGTGTGTGTGAGATGCATAACCCCCATCATCCCCCCCCCCTCCACCTGTGTGTGTGAGATGCATAACCCCCATCATCCCCCCCCCCACCTGTGTGTGTGAGATACATAACCCCCATCATCCAACCCCCCCCCTCCACCTGTGTGTGTGAGATACATAACCCCCATCATCCAACCCCCCTCCACCTGTGTGTGTGAGATACATAACCCCCATCATCCAACCCCCCTCCACCTGTGTGTGTGATATATAACCCCCATCATCCACCCCCCCCTCCACCTGTGTGTGTGATATATAACCCCCATCATCCATCCCCCCCTCCACCCGTGTGTGATATATAAACCCCCATCATCCATCCCCCCCTCCACCCGTGTGTGATATATAACCCCCATCATCCATCCCCCCCCCCCCCCCCTCCACCCGTGTGTGATATATAACCCCCATCATCCATCCCCCCCTCCACCCGTGTGTGATATATAACCCCCATCATCCATCCCCCCCTCCACCTGTGTGTGATATATAACCCCCATCATCCATCCACTCCCCCCCCCCCCCCTCCACCTGTGTGTGTGATATATAACCCCCATCATGCATCCCCCCCTCCACTGTGTGTGTGATAAATAACCCCCCCCATCATCTCCACTGTGTGTGTGTGATATAACCCCCATCATCCATCCCCCCTCCGCTGTGTGTGTGTGTGCACGAGATATATAACCCCCATCATCCATCTCCCCCCCTTGTGTGTGTCTGATATATCATCCCCCCCCCCCCCTTGTGTGTCTGATATATCGCCCCCATCATTGCCTACATGTCTATCACCCCCCCCCCCCCCATTTGTTGTGTGCCTGATATAACCCCCATCATCCATCTACAGCAAACAAAAAAAAATCATAATCTCCTAGGTGGGTGCAGCATCAATCTATGCTACAAATGTCCTCTGCCATTTCTAAGACTGAGAACTGAGCGATCAAAGACTGCTGATCGTTCAGGTCTCAGTCTTCAGTGACTCAGTCAACGGCTCTCTGCTCCTCCCCTCCAGTGCTTACTGTAGTGCTGGGTTGAGGAGGGGGAGGGAGCGGCTGGCTCGGGCTCTCGGTGTCAGCTGCTTGCCCAGGCACCTGGGTGGATTCCAACTTTAAAGTCGGGATGTTTCCCGAACCTGCAAGGCCAAGGTAACGTCAGTCCACAGCAAGGTTCAGCCCACTGAAAACGGGTCACAGGAGTGCAGAACAAACTGATCCATTGGAGATCTATAAGAAGTGGAGCCAAGCGAGCTTTGGTTGTCCTTCTGCTTTAAGTGAACCTGAAGTTTTTCTATGTTATAGGGAACACAAAGAAACCTCAATGGTGGCCAAGTGGTGCCCCGAGAGCTCAACCTTTGTTTGGTTTTCCCCCTTTTATTGGTGCCGAGGCATTTCTGTTCTGTGGCCTCACCTTCAGTATGATATCCTCTAAGGCACTGCTGCCTCTGACTGCTACTCTGTACAGACTCCGCGTGTGATGATAGGATATCACTACTCTGCTGCTCTGTTCTCCTTGCTGGAGGAGAAGCTGTACCTGAGGACCTGCAGTGCAAGGATCGCCCTGCCTTTGCTTCGTCTGTTCTGTGGATCTGTACTACTTCCACCTTTATCATTTCCCTACCAATCATCAGAGGGGAAAGCGGAGCACTGACATAAGGAAACAAAGCCCTGTGTATACCAAGATGGCGTCGTCCACAGACACGGGAAGATTTACTAAAACTTGAGTGCAAAATCTGGTGCAGCTCTGCATAGAAACCAATCAGCTGCTAACTTCAACTTGTTCAATTAAGCCTTGACAATAAAACCTGGAAGCTGATTGGTTTCTGTGCTGAGCTGCACCAGATTTTTGCACTCTCCAGTTTTAGTAAATAACCCCCACTGAGTCTACATTGGATCCTAGCCGGGAGGACCCGTCATCAGTATAATGATGGTGTCTTAGCAGAATGTGGCTCTTGGCTGCACGTGCAGCCCTCTGCTGTTTGTCCCTAGGAGCCGAGAAGGACCCTGGGGTGTTGGTTTGCCTAATCTGTCCCACACCATGTACCGTGAAGGGGTGGGCACACCATATACTGGTGAGGTTTGTCTAGGCTGGCACATGCCATGTACTGTGGCAGGGTGTGCCTGGCACACCGCCACGTACCGTGATGGGGCCTGGCGCACACGCCACGTAGTTTGGGGGGGGGGTTTGTCTAGCACACACCATATACAGTGGCAGGGGTTGTAGGTCCAACGCATTGCATGTACCCTGGTGGGGCTTGTTTAGTCTGGCACACACTATATACAGTGTCAGGATTCTTGTAGGTTTAGCACATGCCATATACCGTGACCGTGGTGTGTTTTTTTTTTTTTTTTTTTTTTGTAGCTCTGACACTCCATATACCGTGGTGGGGCTATTCTAGTCTGGCGCACCCCATCTACATGGCAAGGGGTTTTGTAGGTCCGGCGTGCCCCATACACAGTGGCAAGGGGTTTTGTAGTTCCAGCGCGCCCCATACAGTGGCAAGGGGTTTTGTAGATCCAGCGCGCCCATACAGTGGCAAGGGGTTTGTAGATCCAGCGCGCCCCATACAGTGGCAAGGGGTTTTGTAGATCCAGCGTGCCCCATACAGTGGCAAGGGGTTTTGTAGATCCAGCGTGCCCCATACAGTGGCAAGGGGTTTTTAGTAGATCCAGCGTGCCCCATACAGTGGCAAGGGGTTTTGTAGATCCAGCGTGCCCCATACAGTGGCAAGGGTTTTGTAGATCCAGCGTGCCCCATACACGGCAAGGGGTTTTGTAGTCCAGCGTGGCGCCCCATATACCAGGGCAAGGGTTTTGTAGATCCAGCGTGCCCCATACAGTGGCAAGGGGTTTTGTAGATCCAGCGTGCCCCATACAGTGGCAAGGGGTTTTGTAGATCCAGCATGCCCCATACACAGTGGCAAGGGTTTTGTAGATCCAGCGTGCCCCATACACAGTGGCAAGGGGGTTTTGTAGATCCAGCGCGCCCCATACAGTGGGCAAGGGGTTTTGTAGATCCAGCGCGCCCCATACACAGTGGCAAGGGGTTTTGTAGATCTGTTGAGCCTCATACACAGTGGTAAGGGGTTTTGTAGGTCCAGCGCTCCCCATACACAATGGTAAGGGGTTTTGTAGGTCCGTTGCGCCCCATATACAGTGGCAAGGGGTTTTGTAGGTTTAGCACATGCCATATACCATGACAGGGTTTTTTGTGGGTCTGACACTCCATATACTGTGGTGGGGCTATTCTAGTCTGACACACACACCATATACCATGGCGGGGTTTTGTAGGTCTGGCGCACACACGTATACCACGGCGGGGTTTTTGTAGGTCTGGCGCACACACGTATACCACGGCGGGGTTTTGTAGGTCTGGCGCACACACATATACCACGGCGGGGTTTTGTAGGTCTGACACACACATATACCACGGCGGGGTTTTTGTAGGTCTGACACACACCATATACCATGGCGGGGTTTTTGTAGGTCTGACACACACCATATACCATGGCGGGGTTTTTGTAGGTCTGGCGCACACATGTATACCACGGCGGGGTTTTTGTAGGTCTGGCGCACACACGTATACCACGGCGGGGTTTTGTAGGTCTGGCGCACACATACGTATACCACGGCGGGGTTTTGTAGGTCTGGCGCACACACGTATACCACGGCGGGGTTTTGGTAGGTCTGGCGCACACCATACCCCACGGCGGGTTTTTGTAGGTCTGGCGCGCACACGTATACCACGGCGGGGTTTTATAGGTCTGGAGCACACACTACGCACACACACACACAGGCACACACTGGCAAGACAGAGGAATAATGAGTCTGTGTTTTTTTTTCTTGCAGCGGAGAAGGTCAGCTCTCTGGGGAAGAACTGGCACCGATTCTGTCTGAAATGTGAGATGTGCAGCAAGGTCCTCTCCGCCGGGGGACACGCAGAGGTGAGAACCCAATACCGAGACCTCCTGTTATCAGATCTGCCTGCACCCTCCTGCAACTTTCCTCTGTTCTCCTTCATACAGCTCATCCATCCCTCAGAATCTGTTCACCTTCCTGTAATTTCTCCTTTCTCCAGAGCACCCCCCCCCCCTCCCCATTATCAGTGTGTGGCTCTATTAATAGGGGCCCCTGCAGATAGTGTGTAGCAGACACCCCAGTGCTGTCAGATTAGGAAGTGTCTGCAGATGATCATTAGCCGCCTTGTAAAGCATCAGACGTGCCGGGACCTGCCAGCCAGACAGACGCTCATTGTACAGAAGCTGCAGACGGCACCCGCACCACCCTTCTCTGTGTACTGCCAACATCCCCGCCCCCCACTGTTCTCTGTATAGGGCCCCCCTGCCTTTCTATGTGCGAGGGGAATATTGGGGGGCCTCATTCGCCATTCTCTGTGTGAGGGAAATATCAGAGTCCACTCCGCTATTGCTGGTAACTTTGGGTCACCTGCCATTCTGTGTGTGGCAATATCTATTGTGGTCCCCCCATCCCCTGTGTGAGGAGGAATATTGGGGGCCCACTTTGCCATTCACTGAGGGGGAATATAGGGGTGTTATCTGCCTCTTTCTGAGAGGGGGAATATCAGGGTCCCCTTCCTCATTGTTTGAGAGAAAATCGGGGTCCCTTCCGCCATTCTCTGTTGGTAATATTGGGGTTATCTGCCAGTCTCTGTGAGGGGGAATATCGGGGTCTCTTTCCTCATTTTATGCGAGTCGGACTATGGAGGGCCCCCCCGTTCTGTCGGACTATGGAGGGCCCCCCGTTCTGTCGGACTATGGAGGGCCCCCCCGTTCTGTCGGACTATGGAGGGCCCCCCCGTTCTGTCGGACTATGGAGGGCCCCCCCGTTCTGTCGGACTATGGAGGGCCCCCCCGTTCTGTCGGACTATGGAGGGCCCCCCCGTTCTGTCGGACTATGGAGGGCCCCCCCGTTCTGTCGGACTATGGAGGGCCCCCCCGTTCTGTCGGACTATGGAGGGCCCCCCCGTTCTGTCGGACTATGGAGGGCCCCCCCCCGTTCTGTCGGACTATGGAGGGCCCCCCCCCGTTCTGTCGGACTATGGAGGGCCCCCCCCCCCCCCGTTCTGTCGGACTATGGAGGGCCCCCCCCCCGTTCTGTCGGACTATGGAGGGCCCCCCCCCCGTTCTGTCGGACTATGGAGGGCCCCCCCCGTTCTGTCGGACTATGGAGGGCCCCCCCCCCGTTCTGTCGGACTATGGAGGGCCCCCCCCCCCCGTTCTGTCGGACTATGGAGGGCCCCCCCCCCGTTCTGTCGGACTATGGAGGGCCCCCCCCCGTTCTGTCGGACTATGGGGGCCCCCCCCCGTTCTGGTCTTTGTGAGGTGGAATATTGGGCTGTTCCCAGATTTGAGTCGGTGAGGATGGGGGCAGGGGGCGGGACTGATCATTTGGAACTGCCCGAGGGCCCGGGGTCAGTAGGGGCCCCATGAGATGCCCCTGGTACCTTTTTCATAGGCTTTTTTGAGTTTGAGCAAGGACACAAGGGGCCCCATGATCCCCTATTGCCCGGGGGCCCCATGAATTGTCAGTCCGCCCCTGGATGGGGGTGTCTATTCCAGTGGGGGTCATTGCATTGTGAAGCACCCTGGAATGAGGCAGAAGTCGGCTGAGCTCGGGGCCCGGTCGCCCCATGTCCCCTCTGACATAATAATGACCGGTAGATGCTCCCATTGATAAAACTGCTAAGATCTCTCACTTCCAGTCATGTTGGTCCCTGTGAATCTGTGGAAATATCTTGGGGTCTGTGACCTCTGTGTACACAATCTGCAATATAATATATACAAGTCATTGTCCTCCGTGGTTTCCTGTCCCCTTACAGGGGCCGTATCCAAGACTGCAGAGTGTCGCTCCTCCGTATAATGACAGTGTACACAGCCCGGGTGTAGGGGGGGCAGGAAATTCCTCCGCTTGGCAGCTGCTCAATCTGACAATTGAAGGAGAAACCTTTAAAAATAACTCCGAGCTCCTCCAGCTGCAGGAATGTGGGAAAATGTTTCACTGCTCAGCAGCCTCCAGCGAACTGAGGGGGGGGGGGGGGGGTATGGGGAGGACTTGATCCAGAAGATGGACATGACCTTCAGATTATGTCTGGTACACAGTGTAACCTGCTGAAAAGGAAAAGGCAGCAAGAAGATCCATTGCATTATTCTACGGGTTTATATAGCTGTGACATATACCGCAGCGCTGCACAAGGAACACGGAGCCATTACAGCAGTCTCTGTACCAGAAGAGCTTACACTCTAATGTCCCCCCACAGCCACACACTATTATTCTACATATACAGGTGTTTTAAATGCTACATGATTTTCAGGTGTGAAAGTGACGACGTGTTTCGCATTGAAAGCGGAAGTGATGAAACATTCTTTTGCTTCCGCTGTGTGATGAGACACCTAGCGAATAGGTGGGAAGCCTGACTTTTGTCACTCACTGCATGCTCTGCTAGTAATATGAAGTCATGTCAGAGATCACTGAGGTTCAAAGAGGGCGAATTGTTGGTGCCGCTTAGCTGGAGCCTCTGACTGAAGTTGCCAGTTATTTGCCGTGTCGCAAGGTACAGTCTCCAAGGTTATGACTAGGGATGCACCGAAATTCTGATGGCAGAAACCTTTCGGCCAAAAAACTCCCCTTTCGGCTGTTGGCCGAAATGAAAAAAAGCGCTGATACAGGTGCTGAAAAAAACCCCGCCCGTCCGCCGCCGCTCAGTCTTGCCTGAGAAACCATTGATCCCAGCGCTGGGCATAGAGATGAGTGAAGGAAAGATGGCCACCACTCATCTCTATGCCCTTGGAGGACCAGAGCGATGTCTAAATCATTGGTTTTTTTTTTTTTTTGGTTTTTTTTTTTTTTTTATCCAATGCTTTACATTGCAGAAGAGAGATGTGGGGTCTTATTGACCCCGTCTCTCCATAAAGAGGACCTGTCACTAATTATTTCTATCACAAGGGATGCATTTCTTGTGATTAAGAATAAAAGTGATTACAATTGTTTTAAAAGGAACAGTGAAAAAAAAAAAAAAAAAATTACATTTAAAAAAAAAAAAAAGTTTAAAGTTCCCCCGTCCCCCACCATGCTCACACATAGCGGTGAACGCATATGTAGGCCACGCCCACATATGCAAATGGTGTTCAAACTACACACGTGAGGTATCACCAACGAATGTCAGAGCAAAAGCAATAATTCTCGCACTAGACCTCCTCTGTGACTTTACTGTACTAACCTGTAGAAATTTTTAAAGTGTCACCCATGGAGATTAAGTACTGCAGTTTCTCACCATTCCACGAGCATGCGCAATTTTAAAGCGTGACATGTTTGGTATCTATTTACTTGCCGTAACATCCTCTTACATATTTTACCAATCAATTGGAGTGTATATTGTGTTTTTTTTTTTTTTTTTTTTTTTTAAATGTATCCGTGTATTTTTTTTTTCCAAAAAATATATATATTCATTTTTAAAAACTGCACATTTTGGTTTTCTGCCAAGTGCATTTTGAATTTACGATTTTGGCGCCAGAATTTTCATTTCGGTGCACCACTAGTTATGATGGCATGTACAGTTTTTTTCTGGGAAAACATCATCCAATAAATATAGGCGCGATCGACATGGTCAGCTGACCAAAAGAGACAAAAAGGACCTTGAGCAGGATTGTGACCCAAAATAAGAAAACTGAAATTGAGCTCTGCAGTGACTTTTGCAGCAGTCTTCAAATGGACTAAGATTGAGCACTGCAATGACTTTTGCAGCAGTCTTCAAATGGACTAAGATTGAGCTCTGTAGTCACTTTTGCAGCAGTCTTCAAATGGACTAAGATTGAGCTCTGCAGTCACTTTTGCAACAGTCTTCAAATGGACTAAGATTGAGCTCTGCAGTGACTTTTGCAGCAGTTTTCAAATGGACTAAGATTGAGCTCTGCAGTCACCTTTTGCAGCAGTTTTCTGCAGTTTTCTTATTTTGGGTCACAATCCTGCGCAAGGTCCTCCTTTTTTTTTTTTTTTTTTTTTTTTTTTTTTTTTTTCTCTTTTTTTGCCGTTTTCCCGGAAACTTTATATGCCGTCATAACCTTTTGATACTGGACCTCGCGACACGGCAAGTTGGCAACTTCAGTCACAGAGGCTCCAGCTAAGCCGCACCAACAATTTGCCCTCTTTAAAGCTCAGTAAACTCTGACATGACTCTATTAGGCCCCATTCGCTCGTCTCCAAAGTCACACAATTTCCAGTGCGACTTGTGGTGCGACTTTACATTCACTTGACTAAAGTCGTACCGAAGTAGTGCAGGAACTACTTTTCAAGTCGCACAGATTTGAATGGTACTCGTTGGGGAAACATGGGGTGCGACTTGTCATGTGACTTTGGATCTAGTTGCACAAGTGTGAATGGACTCTTTACTAGCAGCACATGTGGTGAATGATGACACTGAGGCTTCCCACCTCTTGGCTAGGTGTCTCATCACACAGCGAAAACAAAAGAATTTTCCATCACTTATTTATTTCAGGTACTTATATATAGTGCTGTCAATTTACGCAGAGCTTTACATATATATTGTACATTCACATCAGTCCCCGCCCCCCCCCCAGGGGTGTACAATCTAAGGTCCCTAACCCTCAAGGGGCGTACAATCTAAGGTCCCTAACCCTCACATTCAAGGTAATACAATCTAAGGTCCCTAACTCACATTCACATACTAGGGACAATTTAGTCAGGAGCAAATTAACCTACCAGCTTGTCTTTGAAGTGTAGGAGGAAACTGGAGTACCCGGAGGAAACCCACACAGGCACAGGGAGAACATGCAAACTCCAGGCAGGTGGTGCTGTGGTTGGGATTTGAACCAACGACCCTAGTACTGCCAGGCGGAAGTGCTAACCATTTAGCCACTGTGCTGCCCATACTTTCAACTCATAAATGTTGTCACTTTCAGTCCTGCTT